CGCTAAAAGTATAAGCTATAGCAATTGTATAATGTTATTTGATTTCGTAGCTATTTGCTTGGTCCGGCAGATAGGCTTTCCCTGCAAGCAAAGTTGCTCGCTTTTGTGGCTTTTGTGGCCAGATAAATGAAGCGTAAAAAATTCTTATGCTCACATAGCGATTTATGGTTTTACGCTATTGCATGGCAAATTAATCCAGGAAGTGATTTTATAATTTATTCTACTGACATTCTTTGATGCACAAATACAACCTTCACATACCAACAGAACCTGGTACCGTTACAATTCGCATTGGATCCACCACTGCATTGTGCTTCTTTTAAGAGTGAGTGACATTGCAAATTCAACTATTGTGGTTACTTGTGGATATGTTGCTTGTGGTTGAAAACAGTTGTAGGGAATCTTTAACATTTTTATTGATCAGCCTCCCAATTTGTGCTTAAGTTTTATTGTTTGAGATTTAATGCCCCATAAAAATGTTTATATGCTTATTGGAACTTACCGATGCCACGATTGTCAGATAATAACGTTGTATCTTCTCGTAGTCCAGTGTTTTGGCCACAGTAACCTAAAATGAGGAAGAGATGGTTAAATAAAATAATCGCTTAGGGTACAATGTAAGCAATAAAAAATAACTGTACGCAGATTGTTAAATATTTTTCTTAGATTACTTCAACTCCGAAAATTTGTAAAAAGCTAGAGACACATCTTTTAACCTCCAGTAAACGACGTTAAGAAATTAGTGCGTACAAAGCAGACAAGAATGTGATAATTAATAAAACTTTAATGTGATTTTTTACATATGTTTGGCAAAATATCTTAGCATAGTTTTTTTAAAAAATATTTTAAAAGCATTGTAGACATGATTCTTAGAAATATTCCAGAACCACGGGTAAACATATGTATGTACGTAGATAAATAATAACGAAGGCTATATTCACCACAAGACATCGAAATCAAAATCCAAGGAAAATAAAAATCAATAATTTGAAAATAGAATGGGATGACAATGTTAAATATTTAGGTAGAGTTTTTGAGAGAAGATATACTTGGTTCGAGAATATAACAGTCAAGCTAGTTTGAGAGATAACTCTAAATGCTTTGAAACCATTAACACAAGCAAAGTTGAGTATAAAAAATAAATAAACTTCTACTTTATAAGCAAATAGATTAGGTTAGGTGTTACTTATGGCAGTGTTACTTATGACAATACTGTTCACCCACAAAATTCCAAATTTATCAGAATATTATGCTGACACATATACAAACAGTTCCATGGTATATCAGAATGAAGACAAACACAAAGACTTAAGAGTCGAGAGTGTGCTAAAGTATATCAAAACAAGTGCGCTGAAATTGTTTGATTATGAAGAGAATTGCACTTTTTAATTCAATCTGCTATTCCTATTAAACGTTATCATATTCAAGAAGTAAAAAGGATGTCATAAGTCTGTCTTTGCTATTTTTGCAGATACAGAATATACAGAATATATATATTTCAATATATAGTAAATACATAGTATAGAATATAGTATTTACTGATGTATTGCTCCTCTCTCCATCATAAAAAATCTTAGTCTTAGTCATAGTCCAAAATACGGTTGAATACGCAACCATTCAGTTTTATTTAGAATTTTTTTTTAAAGTACGTTTTCAATGTTCAGATATATTAGTTATATATAAACAAAAACATGATATATTGAGTGCAGTTAGGGTCAAAAACAAAGGGCCTGCAATGTGGTCATTAGAATGGGTTTGAAATATTTAGTAAGCGTTGTGCGAAGTATGGAGATCTGAACTCACAGTGTTAAAAGACATTCAAAAATGTGATTAAAGGAATCACATAAGAACTTTCAAGTCGACTGAATATTGAGAGAGATAAGTAAATGTCGTATAACATAGAATATTAGGAGCACTGAATTTCAGATAAATATGGTTGTTAAATGATATTTTATTATCTCTTAGGATTCTGAAAAAAGTTATATTAAAGAGTTATAAATAAGTACATATTATCAAGATGTGATTGAGGAGACTAGTGTCATTGTCATATAAGTTTATTTTGAAACTTGACCAATCAAATAAAAATTTTCAATTAAATAGGTTGAAATGTATAAATTACATGAATATTAAGCTATAATTGGTCAGTTGCTAATGTTATTTCACTTCGAAAATGTTAAAGCAATTGTTATTGATAATATCTTTGGGAATTTGCACTTGAAAAAGTTAAAAAGCTACTACCAATGTGTGACTGATTTATCTCGTTAACTCATTTTTGCTAAATTATAATAAAATTATTCGTTTTTGTCACTGATATTTGTGAATAGCACTTTATTTGCTCACACCAAAAATCATTACTGGTCTCAATGTCAATTGAAAGTAATCCAAGTTGCTGCTGCCAAAAGCGAAACCGCCAACGCAGTAATTTTGAGATATTAACGCATTAGCAGAGTCAAACGAACCGTCAGTGGATTTAGTAGATTTATTGGACTCAAATTAAATGAGATCGTTTGGCTGATTAAGCGCACGATTGTTGCATTAGTAAAACAACACTGCCAATGTTGCTGTGGGCGCAAATGCCTTGTAAACGTGATCTGAGCAGAAGATTTAGTTGAGGTAGCATTTGACTTAGATAAGCCAAAGACTCGAATACTCGAATACTCGAATTACAAACACTTAGACGATTCTGGTCTGTGAGCACTTGAAGCATTAAACTCAAAATGATTTATTGCTTAGGTAAATTAAACTTGATTTGATTCGGTTTTGTCTGCTATATGAGGTAACTGACTCACCTGTCCCTGATGTGGAAATGATATTGTAAATGTGCCATAGCCGTCGGCAGTTGTCAATTTTTCATCTTCAGTAGCGTTTGAATTGCCCTCGACAATGAAATATTCCACCAGGCCATTAACACCGGCATCCTTGTCCAAAGCTTGTATGTTGCGAAATATTGTTGTGCCGACTGGAGTGCTCTGTAAAGAACGTAAGAACGTAAGTTTGCAGTAAATATTAATTTATTTTTATTTTCTATGGCATAAAAATAATGACAATAATGACAAGAAACTTGCTTTAAATGGCAGAGAATATGCAGAGAATATGGAAACACACAAGTTTAATCGCGAATGGCAGGGCTTGCCTAATACGTATCTTCTAGATATTCCTTATCATTTGTTTAGAACTATAAAATCTTAATGGAATTTATTAACATTAACATCAATTCTGTGTTTAAGTTCATTTTATGGTCGTCACATATCATAATTTTATGAGGATTTGTAAAAATCGATTGTCGATCTGCACTTTTTGTTTGAAAAAAAACTTGTCAACTCTCAAGTGAGAAGTATTCTTCTTAGATTGTGTACTCGACTCTTTTGGACTTATATAAATTAAAAATTAATTAATTGTCAATAACTGTTAGTGTGATTAGCGATATATATAAAATACTATAGACTTGTGGAATTTTATAATATAAACAGCCTCAGATAAAGAATTAAGCTAGACGGTGGTGCTACAAATATGGATTCACATATATCACTTATGCATGCAATACGGAAAAATCAAGAATTTCTGAATAAAATTATGAACCAATAATTACATTTTAATTGGATAATTTTTTCTCTTGTCAAATATAGTTGTAAGTAAACCATTTACAGAAGTATTAACATAAAAACTAAGACATAACAAAAGAGCTAGGTTGTCTGGTTTGTTTTAAATTAGCTCCTCTTATGAAATTTTACGAGTTCTGGGATTGGGATCCCCATGGAGCGAATAAGGTATAATTTCGACTTAGGATTTTGTTTTATTATGCATTTAGATATATAGATATATATCTGATTAATATGTAGTTTAATATGAGAAAATATTAATTAAATTTGAAAGCCTATAACAAGCTTCTTGGTCGATTCTTATAGTTCTCAGTTAATTACTTAGAGCTTAAAATTTTGATAACATTCCTTTGAGCAAAGAACCATATTCAAATTTATTATACTTTCGGAGAAATCGTCATATATGTAGGCTGCTTTGAAAAACAACTTCTGCTGCCTGTTACAGGAGCTGTAACTGTATTATGTTAAATAATTATTTCATCGGACGACTTCAAGTATTTGTGAAAATAAAAAGAAAAAAGTATTATGTTGGAAATGAATTTCATATCTAAACTATAATATGATGTGGAGTATCAAAACGGAATTTATTGAATAATTTAATTATTTTATTGAAAAGTATATTAAGTCAGAAGGAGGAATATGTTTAGAAAAAGTTATACCCGAAATAAAAAATATAGGGACGTGGGTTTGTATATAGGTTGTTTTTTGAACACCTCTCTCTCTCATACATATATATTTATGAGATATGCAGTATATTCATTTCATACTATAAGGATTGCCTCTCATATTGACAGGTTGTAGATAGAGAATAAAAACTAAGAAAATACTTTTAAGAATGTTTTATAATTTAATTCTAGTTTGCTGCGTTAAAAAAATGTTTAAAACAATTTTGTTATTTCAATTATGTGTTCCGTCTGTTTTCTAGGAAACTGCAAGTACTGATTTGGTAAAGAAAATTACTTTATAATTGCTCGCGGAGGGAATTGATGATTGCACCAAATACAAATGCCTCTGATACAGAAATTGTTTTTCAACAATGATACTCGTACTAATAAATTGCTGGAAATAGTTGATATTTCCGTTTTAGTAACTGCATTTCCATCTTTTATTGGCAGACGAAGCAATAAAAACTTTGCAAGTAATTCTTGAACTGAGTACGTGTTCGGCATGAAAAGACTGATATGAGAAAATGTGTTTCATGTAAGAAGTCAGATGGCATATGCAAGATTGCATTATGTTTATTTATGAGACTGATGTAGATATAACTTTTCTATATACAACACTTGTAAGTTGCTTCTGTTAAGTTAAACAGATGAGACAGAAACTGATAATTAATTGAGGAACGAAGTTGTTACTGTTTGCTCTAAGGGATTTGATTTTTAATGAAAGGCACGAGAAAATAATAAATTCATTTAGAGCAAGTGTAAACCTACACATATATATTCCAAATGTGGCTAACATGTCTAAATGTTTATATGTCTCTTTATAGCGAATTGACTTAATCGAACTGACAGCATATATTAATTTTTAATTTTTACAAATTTTGCAGATAATTTTAAAATAAAAAATTAATAAAAATAACTATATAAAAAAGTTATAAGTGAGAAAATAATTAATAGAATTTTGAAATATATTTTAAGAAGAGAAGTGCATCTCATCTAAGTAAGTGGATAAGAGTTCACATATATATTCCAAACGAGCGCTAAGATTAAAGGCTGCGGAAGAATATTTCTGGTACCTGCAGCATCTCAACTTTGCAATATTCGTACAAATGCAGAAATTGAAAGGAAATGCCAACCGCAAAACTATCTGATAAATTTTGCATTTAAGCTCTGTTGAGCAATTTCTCCCACACTTGCAACTTGCAACTTGCCACTTGCTGCTACGTGCCTCGCTCCAACGGCATTGTTTTGTGTAGGAAAAGTAACAAAGTTCAACGAGTTGCAATTACGAGTCAAAACAGGCACAGAACGAGATAAGCTGTGAGGTGAGGCTCAGCTCAGCTCAGCTCAGCTCAGCTCGGCTAAGGCAACAAGGCAAGGCAAATAACTTGAAGCGATTGAACTCTGAACTTTGGAGCAGAATGAGTTGCCGTTGCTTTGTTTCCTTAAGCTTAAACAAATTTGGAAGATTTTAGTTAGTTTCAATTTATTCATTTGATTTCATTAGATAACTGAATTTTATGCCAGCTTTCACCGAAATCGTTATGTGTTGTGTATGGTCCGCCAAACTGCTTTGGTATATTTAAGTATTCTATAATAGCAAATCCTTCAGATTTTGTTCTCGTGATTAAGTAATAATAAACAATTTTCTAGAACGATTTACAATTTTGTATTCTTAACGTCAAGAATATTTTTAATACTAACAAATCTACAACGATACGATAATAAATTTATTAAGCATTTTAAAAATAAAAATGTTTACAAAGTTTCAGTTCCAGAGATATCGAGAACTAAGACTGGGTTATCCACTTTATGGTTCCGAAAATGTTAAAAAAATCTTTTATTTTAACATATGTGCAATTAGGTGTGAAATCTAACATCATTCAACTATTCTCTACGAAACCTTTCAGCAAATGGATTTTTTTGAGGTTATTTCCGAAGATTTGTACTAATTTCGTTGGCAATATTACTGCGGCCATTCAAATGATTTTGATTATTAATTAATAGCGCTAAACGTGACATTATAGTTTCGTGTAACAATGTCACAATGGGACGTATTATATGGGTTGTGATACTGTCTTGTTCAAACTAGATTTGTTCCACGCACATATTTTTAATTTCTTGCAAAAAATATTGTTAATTATGTGGGTGTAGCGATTAAAACAGAGAATTTACAGCAGATATGATACAATATATTTTTATTGATTAAACTTTGTTATTTTCAATTTACGAGAGTCCTATGTATCATACCTTCAGATCAAATGCTATATTATGTAGTCATTCCAGTAGAGTTTCAATAGCTGCTTTTGGATGGTCCCTAAGACAGTGTTAATTGTTGATATATCCCCCAGTTGTAAATCGAATATAAAAATTCAATGCGAAAAATTGTCACCAAGTTTGTTAGTAGATTTTCGCAATTTTAATAAGTTTAGTGTTAGTTAAGAGATTCATATTGTAAAACCTGACAGTTACACTTAACAAACGAAATCTTGGATGACCGTTTTCTTTGATATGTGGCATTGAAATAATGCTGCCAAGTATGGACTACGATATCAATAGTTTCATACAATATCTTCGTTAACACCAAAGATGATTTCTACGCTTATAATAAACATAGAGTCCTTCGAGTAGCTATTGGTTCGTTGCTCTGCCGCGAAAATGTTTTAGAAGTTGCTTTAAAGACATACAGTAAACACTTTAACAATATTCTACATAATTATACAGAACACAATGGTTGATCGATGGTTCTACACCTCTTTTGGGCCGCATAGTGGTCACTGTTGTCACTATATCAAATAATAATAATCATTCTTCTGTATATATTATTGAAGTGACAGTAGCATATTTAATTAATTCTAAAATTAATAAAAAATTAATTTTACTCAAATATTATGAATTTTCAAAAGATCATTGAAAATTCCAGCTTTAAACATTAGTCTTCAAGTTCAAGCAAATTCCTCAGCACTGCCCTTAATAAATGAGCCTGTCAAGTATTTTACACAATTTGCCATGCTGAACCATAAATTATAGGCTTTATCAAATCGAAAGGATCGGTTTCTATGCAACTGTGTCATGACATCATCACCCACAATCGCAGCATCATTAAACACACGATGGCGGCATAAGGAAATCGGCTTAGCAGTGAAATTGAAGATGCAGCACTTAAGCGTTGAAGACAAGAGAATGGACTCTGACTACATTTGCTCCTTTGAAGTGGTTTTCAACTATGTCACTGTTCAGTCGCTTATCGTATCTTATCCAGAAAAGGATTGGTAAAAGTTTAATGTATACAAATAACATGCGTTTAGTGTTGCTACCAAGGCGGCAGCACATTTTTGCGCAGAGACAATACCAGCAACAACAACAGCAACAGCAACAACAATGATGGTAACAATATTAATGCCACAGATAAATTAACAACAAAAGGTGGCATATAAATTACAATAACGATAAACTTTATGGCATATGGCAGGGAGAGCTAGCTTCTTTGATTTTCCTCTCGGACGTGAGTGCGGCATTTGTGTGTTAGGATTTTATGCAAAAGTTTGTTGAACAACTGCAAAAACAATATAAAAAATTGTTCAATGTGGCATGTTGTAGATATTTTTCGTATTCCCGGTGACTGAAACAATATGAATAATTTATGAACGAAATCCTCTTTAAGTATTTCACTTGGTTGCATCTGCACAAATTGCATGTCGTGGCCAA